TGATTTTTTGCAATGATAATTTCACAAACCCGGGAAACTCTGTGGAAACTACAATATGTATTTTCCACCTGGGAATCGAAACACAGTTTATTAATAAGTAACGCCCGTTTCCCATATTCAATCCTTGTCCAAATCCGGATTTCAACTGTGAAAAACTCTTTTTAGATTAAATATCCACAATGTTCGATGCGCTACACTTTAATAATGTTAAAATAACTGGTCTTACAAACAATAATATGAAAACAGGAAAACATCTAACACCGCAGATATTTTGTCCAAAACCTTAGCAATCTTAGCATTAACACTGGTATTTATGTAAAGAAAAAGTACAACCTAATGTAATGATAACGTTGTTAAATAAACTTTTATTTATTTATTAATAATTTTACTGTCGCAAATCAACCATTGTGGAAATCGTTTGGGGAGGATTGTGTTCTGCAGTGGACGTCCTAAGGCTGAAATGATGTTGATGATTATTATTATGATTTATTTATTAAAAACATATTGAAATTTGACAGTTGACGGACGGTTTTGGATTAGGCTTGAATCATGGGATTGAATATAGAAAATCAGCATAAAACCCTAAACTAATAAAGTCAATCTAGCTTCTGTCCCCTGTTTTTTATGCATAACGAGGCCGGTATTTGACCACAATCCCACCTAATTTTAAGTGAGATGCAGTCTAGGATGGTACATATCTGCGGTGTAATTGCCTATTCACTCTCGCCTTGAAAAGACCCGGATTATATTCTTCGGGAAAGACAGCAGCAGGCAGCGAATTCCAGTCCCTAGCTGTTTGCATTATAAAATTTCCCCCACGTGTTTCAATGATGCTTGCTGTTATTATAGTGATTAAATTTAATGAACTGTCATTTAATACAATCACTCTAGAACAACAGACCTTGTAAAAAATCGAAAAACCTGTAATTGAATCTTCTATTATTCACATACAAAAATACTTTGAGCCGATGAAGCAATTGCGGTCGAATTCAATACGATAGTCAATTAAAATATCCACGTTGTTTCGATTTTAATAACAATTTATGTGTTTACTTCTGATTTAGGTACCAATTTCAATTGGTCTTGTGAATTTATTAGTCTGTATTTTTCAGTTTCAGTGATAATGACTAGCCGCTATTATTTGTCATTTCTCTGTTGGTAAATAAATATTTTTTTATTTCTGTCTTTTTCTAGGTGTGTCTATCACAATCGGATCGAGAGTTTTTCATATTTTTGTTTTTGTAATGAGGAAAGATTTGTATTTTTGTATGTTTGAAACTAATAAACTCATAAACTATTGCACCGATTTCAAATGACTATTAGAATTCATCATCATCATCATCATCTCAGCCACAGGACGTCAACTGCTGAACATAGGCTTTCCCCAATGCTTTCTATGTTGCCCGGATGGTAGCGGCCTGCGTCCAGCGCCTTCCTAGAATGCTAAATTATCTCTAAATAATAAAGTAAAAATAAAATGATACTTTTATTGCCTTAAATAGGTGGTTACTGAGTAGTTCTTGCTTGATATAATGTTACTTACAAAGACTCATAACAGAACAAAATTTATTATTTATAATAACGAAGACAAATTACTCGGATTCTGTAAGTGATAGGGGAGAGTTCGGTATATTGTACCGCCGGGTAAATTGTACCACCCTCATATTTCGTAAAGTATTTATTGAATGTCTGTAATTGCAACACTCAGCGATACACAACTAAATTCAATTAATATCGGCCATGTGGTTTTTGCCATGACAACGAACACGTGTGTTTTATTTTGAAAAGTATTTTTTCATTGTTTTCAAGTAACTTTTGACAATGCATGTTTAGTTTGTAATTTTGTTAAATTTAATCACAGGGTGTTTCTAATATATTATTTAGAAGCGTAAATTAGTGTGGATTACAATTATTTGAAACATTTTTCGGTATTTATAAGCCATATTTTTTTACCGATTTTTTAAAAGCTTTCTTTCTTTTTCACCTAGTCGGCTAAATTGTACCACATCAAGTTGTATGGAACTTAACCAAAGGATTTTGAATTTTTTTTAGTAAATCATACTTTGAAGTTATAATAGCGTAGTTATGTTTGACTAACAATAAATGAAAGCAAAAGACTGGCAAAGTAGATTAGGTACAAGTGTGCGTTACGATAATTGGAATTACAAAACTTTTACTCAAAATCGTGATAACGTGTAAAACAATATGATTGTATAAGTTATTAACTACTGTTCCTTTTCGTTACCTAATTTGTTAAGAATGTATCGTATAATATTTTTCTACAGATTTTTTGTAGGCTTGAAAATTATTGAAATCCAATTTAACCCTGTGGTACAAATTATCGAATCGGTTGGCTAAATTGGACCGAAGCTCTGAACTCGTATTTTTTTTAATTTGTGCTAAATATACAACAATTGTGTTCATTAATACCTATGAAATATTGAGTTGAATAATTTCTCTTTAATTATATACCATGAACATTAGCAAAAACAAAAGAAAACTATGTGTAAAATGGGATTGAAAAATACTGGTCCAAATTACCGGACTCTCCCTTAAGAAGCACTACAAATAGTTTATCAAAATATATTAGAAATCATTGAATCGAATCGCCAAACAAAGCCGTGGACGATCGCTAGTCCTTTCATAAACATAAGACGGATATATTTTTCTCCATTAGTCCAGATTATTCTTCCCTCTCTATCTAAAAGAGCCTACACGTCCTCCAAACGGCTCTACTATTCCCAACCCAAATCCAAAGACATAAGATTCCTTTTCGCTTGTGTCAGCAAAAGCTATCGCCTGACGCTTCTAAGCTCGGTATTAACTTTCAGCTATATCACTGAGCTTTTAGTCACCATTGAGATCCCAAAGAAATATGAAGTTTTTGTGAGATATATCGAAGCGATTTGTCGGTAATTACTTATCGAATCGCTAGTTGTTATTAATGTGATGTCATAAAACCTTTTAGGAAATAAGTCATTTATTCTACAGCTGATACTTGTAGCAACCGCCTTAGGTATTATTAAGGATGGCCACAATATACGTATGCACATCGTGTTGTAATGTCGGTGTCCCTTCTTTGCTCACCCCTTTTGAGAGATATCAAACTCGAGTCGATGTCTCTCTGAAGGGATGCGCGAAGCCACAACAAGGGCTCTCGCGGAAGACCAGTTTCTTGACATGCCTTTACGAGCATGTCAGGATAAATGCTGAGCGGGAGCCACTATTTTCTATATTCGTTTTGTGTTGTAGGCCAGTAGAATTAGCTTTTAAATCGGAAATAATCCCTACAAAAGATTTTATTGCTTTAATGGCTTCATTGGTTGCCCATTAAGACTCTCCTAGGTTTTCGACTTCGACGGAGTTGTGCTTAAGTGGTGGGGGGCCCCGAAAGGGGCGCTTTTTAGGTTTTCCGGTTATACCGCGTAAAGGACTTACCCTATCCAAAAGTGGTCTTCCTGACGGTTGAAGGGCATTTAATCTTGCGTTAAATAAGACCAAATTCATATGTTTTGGACAAACCGTTCTCGTGCAAATGTTCCGCAAAGTAGAAAATATGTGTATAATTAATGACCCTCTCCACGTCCAATAGCTCGTCACCCGTAGGCTCCCAAGCCTTGTAAAGGGTCGCCTTAACCAGCGTATCACTGTCAAGGCTCACGAGTTGGATTCGCTTATCCTTGTTCGTCCCAGCCGTTCCTTAACTGCGGTTGCTGCACCTCTTCCTGGCACTCTCCTGAACGACTCTGTGTTACTTAATGTGGCTGTCCCTCTTCCTTGTACCCTCCTGTACGATTGTATTGCTTAGCCGTATGCCTGGTCCAAGGTTCAACGCCACAAAATCAACTTCGTACGCGTGAAAATAGTTTAAATACTATTTTCTGTGCTTACAACATTTTTCTTTACTGCTTCGCTTCTATTAGTCGTAGAGTGAATGTATATATCCTATAGCCTTCCTCAATTTATGAGCTATTAAATACAAAAATAATTATTTCAATCAAACTAGTAATTCTTGAGATTAGCGCGTTCAAACAAACAAACAAAAAACTCTTCAGCGTTTTAATATGAACATGTTGTTGTTGTTTTTTGGCGTCGAACCTTAGACCAGGCATACGACTAGGCAACGTAGTCGTGCAGGAGGATACAAGGAAGAGGGGCAGCCACAGTAGGTAACACAGAGTCGTTCAGGTGAGTGCCAGGAAGAGGTGCAGCAACCGCAGTTAAGGAACGGCTGGGACGAACAAGGATAGGCGCATCCAGCTCGTAAGCCTTAATAGGGTTACACTGATTGAGGCGCTCCTTTTCAAGACTTGGAAGCCTGCGGGTAGCGAGCCATTGGGCGTGGAGAGGGTCATTAATTAAACACATATTTTCTACTTTGCCGAACATTTGCACGAGAACGGTTTGTTTAAAACATATGAATTTGGTCTTATTTAATGCAGGATTAAATTTTAATGCCCTTCAACCGTCAGGAAGACCACTTTTCTATAGGGTAAGTCCTTTACGCGGTATACCCGAAAAACCGAAAAAGCGCCCCTTTCGGGGGCCCCCACCACTTAAGCACAACTCCGTCGAAGTCTAAAACCTAGGAGAGTCTTTATGGGCAACTAATGAAGCCATTAAAGCACTAAAATCTTTAGTAGGAATTATTTCCTATTTAATTCATTTTTGTGTTTAATTCTACTGGCCTATTGTTATTGTTTATAATTTGTGCGTGAACACAGTGTTCAATAAAGTCTATTTCTTTCTTCTTTCTTTCTAATTAATAAGTGCTTTTCATATGACGACACACTTGTCATGAAAAAAGTCAATCGATCGATGTAATGTGTTTAATACTTATTTCACACTGATGAACATCGACCGACACCGATTTGGTATCGGCCGATTGTTCATAAATTAAAATCGGGCCCAACTATCGGCCAACTAAAATTCGATGGTCTGCGCCTAGGCTTACGGTTAATGTCAGTTAAAAGCGTATGGTTAAACTACATTCCACTCACCCAAGTCCTCATGGTTGTTGTCCTCCGACAGCCCCCTGCAAATGGCCCCCACGAACACAAGCAGCGTGGCCCACGCGGCTGTCCCGGCAGCCATCTTGGATCACAGCGCCGCCATGCTGTCAACACGCCTCATCCGATTGGCTCTCTCATTGTAGGTGATCTGTGGAAGAGATATCTGGTTTAGTTTCAAAAAGTGGTGCTGAATTTTGTGCAGAAATTTTCGTAAAATCAGTATTTTTCTGAAGTTGTATGGTATAATCAGTAACAAATAAAAGTAAACAAAAACACAACTATTAGATAGACCGTTCCTGATAGCCTGTTAGAGACTTATCTGTAAGATACAACCTCTACTTATAATGGGTCTCAGACAGAGACCTCAAATTCGTCCCTGAACTCATCAAACCAGTAACTAAAGTACGGCCAACGAGAAGCGATACCAAATGTAGGTAAACAAACCCAATGTCATGGGTGAACCCGTCTGACTTTGACATATTTTGGCAGGAGAACGAGACATTACGACAAAAACACAAGATGGGAAGAGACAGAATATATTATTGTCAACTCGACAGTCGTATCGACCTTTTGTATCGCTGCTAGTTGGCCGTACTTTAGCTTTATTTGTTCGATAGCGTTTAAGTTAAACACTTAACTAAATAAAACTTAACCAAAAACCAATGAAACTGGTCCTAATTTTATTACGTCATCCAACAATTAATTCTCCGACACGTATATTGTAAAACCTCTGTTACAGCAACTGCATTACACTGAAACCCTATCATGAGCCTACATTCTGGTAATTTGAGACTAACTTTGCAGCAAAATCCAATAAATCCCTAATGTGAACAGGTTTCCACAATATCCCGGGGCAGTGACTGTACTAAACGCAGGGCTGTCAAAATGTGGAAAAATTATTTAAAAACCCCGTGAACTGTGTAAATAATATTGAATTTTTATTCAGTGACACATAAAAAAACAACATTAGAAACAACATTCCCTAAATGTATACATATAGCGCAATACAAATGAAAAATTTGTGTCCGTCTTATTGGTAGTCCTAAATAAAAAAAAATAAAAAAACAAAAAAAAATAAAAAAAAACAGTTAAAAATTTTTCAATAACAAATCTTCAGATTATAGGACTAACGAACTTAGATACTTTCTTAGAAGGTTTTATATAAAAAAGATTAAACTTCCTTATACGAAAAACAACTGGATTAGTTTCTCGAGTTAAGGATTAAGATACAGGATAATTCGTTTTTTTTTTAAACAAATTAAAATAAAGGTTCAAGAGCCCCACGTGTTAAGAATTAAAATACAGGATGATTCCACTGTTTTATTAAAACCTATTTAAATAAAGGTTCAAGAGCCCCACCCACAGAGCACAGACACTAATAATTAATAGTAATCCAATCGTAGGGAATCGAAACCACGACCTTTCAGATGGTTAAGGCTGGTTTTAGTGTCACGCGGACTGTCAGTGCGGATCGCTCCGCACAGCCGACCTGTATGAACTGCTAGGGAGCGAGCGGTTCCTCCAGACCGCATTACTCTAAAACGCTCCCTAGAAGTTCATACAGATTGGCCGTGCGGAGCGGGTCCGCACCGGACGGTCCGCGTGACACTAAAACCAGCCTAAGAGCAGTCTCCCGGCAAACGAAAGGTCGTGGAATCGACTCCCACTTTAATATTGTTACTTTTTTTGCCTGTTTGACAGCCCTAGCGCATCGTATGACGTCGGAAGCAGCGAAATTATGTCGGAAATAGACTACGACCTAATACGGCGGTCACAGCTCGCGAACCGTATTAAACCGCTAATACTGTAAAGTATGTTTTTAACGCACGCTCTTCTGGGCTAATGGGTGGAATGAATCAGACTTACTCGTATGACGCGAGCTTTTGTTCGTTTTCTGGACAAGCAAATAAATATTTTTGAACATAATACATTATACATTAACTAGCGGCCGCCTGCGACTTCGTACGCGTGGATCCCGTTTTACCCCCTTAGGGGTGGAGTTTCGTAATATCCTTTCTCGCGGATGCCTACGTCATAACATCTACCTACATGTCAAATTTCAGCCCGATCCGTCCAGTGGTTTGGGCTGTGCGTTGATAGATCACTATGTCAGTCAGCCACTTTTGAGTTATATGTATAAGATAGATGTATATTTCGTTGGAGCAGGAAAGTTCTGGAGTGGCGATCACGGGCTGGAAGACGTAGCGTGGGCAGGCCTCCTACTAGGTGGACCGACGATCTGGTAAAGGTTGCGGGAAGAGCCTGGATGCAAGCAGCGCAGGACCGTTCATTGTGGAAAACCTTGGGGGAGGCCTTTGTCCAGTGGACGTCTTTCCGCTGAAATCATTTCAGCCATATGACGTCTACTGCTGAACATAGGCCTCCCCCAACGATTTCCATAATGACCGGTTGGTAGCGCCCTGCATCCAGCGCCTTCCTGCTACCTTTATGAGGTCGTTGGTCCACCTTATAGATGGATGATTGATAAAATGGTGGAATGACATGCTTAACCACAGAATAAGATTTTGAGATTTCTCATAATTTTTTTGATTTGATTCTTATCAAATAATTCAAATTAAAGTATGTCAAGGCCATACCCATAAAGAATACATACACTCTGTATACAGCTTTTGTTCGTAACTGACGTCAGTGGTCTGGTGGTTAAGAGTTTGAAACCCCGAAGCGGAGGGAACGCTAACAAATTGATAAAGAACCATTAATTATTAGTTTTTCATGTTTTGGTAATGGATTACAGGCTTAAATAGACATTATTGTTGTGAGATTAAGTTACAAAACTTCATAGCCAGCTTTTTACTTGACCAAAAATATCTGGAATATAAAGGAGCATCTTTATTTGACGGGTAGTTGACACCATTAAAAATGTTCCAGGGCACTACATTTCTGTCCTGAAAACCTAGTCAAACATCATAACCTACTGATACTGATGGGTCTACTGTAGCTCAAAAAGCTTCCCCAGAAAGCGCCAAAGAGTTGAGTACCTACTGCTCTCCAGATTATTTAATCCAGAACAGCCATGCGGCCGAGTGTTTTCTTAGTTAAACGATCTACGAAGAACATTTCTTCAGTCTTTTCAGTAAAGCAGTTGTTAGACTACAAGTCATCATCATTATGGCTCTTAGAAGTCCACTAAAATTATTTCTTTCTTTCTTTCAATGCTGGATATAGGCCCTCTCTTAGAATGCCACAGAAAGCGGCTCCTGGCCAGTTGCATCCATAACCTTAATCATTCCCTAACGACTTCTGTAAAATCTGACCAAAAGAAAGCTTATTCTCCCGTTTTATAACGCCAGCCCATAGACTAGACTTGAATTCATTAAATTCACACATGCAGTGCATTTTTGAACAATATACGGTGGTCATGGTGAGATTAACGGTCTGGCAAACACGCGGACAGAAATATATGGTAATACCTCCTATCACCGGACGGCAGCGAGTGCTTATTTGCATTGTATTGAATGCGAGGGACATCGGGTGGGGCCTCAGTGTTAGCGACTAGAGCTACAAAGGCACTATTGCGCAGGCCCCTCTTTCCCACTGGGCACTCTGGGCACATGCCTAGGGCCCTGTTCTCATAAAAAACCTTTCTCACATGAGCAGGGCCTCTCTTGATCCTTATGTGCCCAGGGCCCCTAGTAGGTTAAAGGCGGCCCTGCTATTGCAGGATCGATATCAAACTAAGGTAATCATCACTGTGTCACTTGATTTAGTTGTAAAAAAGTGCCATTTCGCAACAAATAATTATAGTGTTTATATTATGTATTATGCAGTAGGTTGTGGATATCCTTGAGGGGAGGCCTTTATGCAGCTGTGGACGTCATTCATTTAGCTGAAACGAATGATGCAGTCCTTGATATTTCAAGGACAGTCGTTTTATAGAACCTCGTATTTTAGCGGAAAATATTCCGCAACATGTTTTCTACTTAATTTAAAAATTGGTTATAGATAGAGTATAGTTCAGTGAAATTAAATTAGGTGTTTAGCCTTTCAAAAAAATATTGATCTCACGCACTTAATTTTCACAAACTAATTCCACTTATCTGAACTCTTTCTATTAGATTCCTAATCCACACTAACTTTGCTAATTCATGAAATATTTAGAAATAAACTCATCAGCCTTCGCATTCCCGTGCATCCTCCATCGCATCCTTAATTAAGTTTGACGTAAAATTCGGTGCTTACAGCGTACCGAGCTACATCAAAGACGCTCCCTAACTCCAAAGAATCAGCACGAAACTACTAAAGATTGAAAAGTTTAGTCTTTATGGAGTTAGTGCGCATTAAGACTGGGCGCACACTACGCGATTGAGAACGACTAAACGCAACTACAAGTTGCGACAGACATTTTCTTCTTCAACGTCTGCACAAAAGAATATACAGGTTGGAATTTTGTAATGGCACCGGGAGGGAAAGTACTCTTAAATACTCTTAATACTGTATATAGAAAGTTTTACTCAAAGAAAATATTATGTTCCTTTATGTTTTAAAAGAAAGAGAACTGCATTCAAAGATTTCCAAATGATTGCCACACGCGAGAATCGAACCAACTAAAATCCGTTAATAATTACAGCCTGTATTTTTATTGCATTGATCGTTAGGGTTAAGTATAAGGATGAAATCTCTCTAACAAACTGGTAGTGGTCTAAATAATATGACAAGAAGTAAGAAAAGTACTGAGAAGGACAGGAATCCTTTATTATCTGGATTTCCTGGCAAATTGAAAATATTTGATGGTGACTCAAGTTTTTGGAATGAAGGCTGGCGTGAAGCCTTTGCTGAAAAGGTGGACAGATACCTTAAAAAGGTTGCAGGAAGCTGGAGGCAGGCCGCTTCTAATCGACCAATACAAGAAAATCACTGGGAGAGATCTGTACTCTGTACAGCAATGGACGTAGACGTATGGAAATGAAAATGCCGAAATTAACTATGATGATATTAGTGCATTGTGGTTCTGCAACTCAACGGCATGTGTGCGAAATTTTGAACAAAACAATAATTGTCAGTCGTAATCTGCGATGCGTCTAGGCACCGAGCAGTCGCACTGCACGACGTCACAGTGTGCGCCCGCTCCGAAATTCACAAGATCACAGCTAAAACTTAATTAAATACTCAGCTCAAGTTAGGAGACGA